CTATACATCATATTCAGTGTCAACTATAGCCAATTATATTGTACATTACACCCCTAGTACTACATATTTATAACTGGAATTTTATACCTTTTGACCACTTTCCTCCAGTTCTTCCTCCTACCACTCCCTGACTCTGGTAACAAGTCTGATCTCTTTTTCTATGAGTTTTTAAGATTCCACATATTTAAATGAGATCATACAGTATTTGTCTTTCCTTGTCAGACTTATTTCATTTAGCATAATGCCTTCAAGGTCCATCCATGTAGCTGCAAATGGCAGGATTTCTTCACTTCTTGTAGCTAAATAATATTTCATTGAATATATGTAACACAACTTCTTTATCTATTCATCCATAAATGGACACTTAGTTTTCCATGTCTTGGCTATTGTAAATAATGCTGCTATGAACATGGAGGTGCAGATACCTTTGCAAGTTATTGCTTTCATTTCCTTTGGATATATTCCCAGAAGTGAAATTGCTGGATCATATAGTAGCTCTATTTTTAATTTTTGAGCATCCCCCATAATGGTTTTCCACAGTGGCTATACCAATTTATAAATCTCACCAACAGTGCACAAGGGTTTTAAATTCTCTACAGCATTAAAATCCACTCCAACATTTGTTATCTCTTTTCCTTTTGATAACAGACATTCTAACAGGCGTGGGGTGTTGCCTGTTGTTTTTGCACTTCCTTGATGACTAGCGATGTTGGACATCTTTTCATGTACCTGTTGGTCATTTGTATATCTTCTTAGGAAAAATGCATATTCAGGGTTTTTTGGCCCATTTTTCATTTTTTCCTCTTGTTATTGAGTTGAATGAGTTATTTATATATTTTGGATATTAAGCCCTTATCAGATAAATGGTTTGCAAATCTTTTTCCCCATAGTGTAAGTTGTCTTTTCACTATGTTGATGGTTTCCCTGGCTGTACAGAAGCCTTTTAGTTTGATATAGTCTTGCTTGCTTTTGTTTCTGATTTTCTTTTTTTTTTTCTGAGCCCGTGAAATCTCACTCTAGATCAATCTAATCTCTGCCTTTAGCAGGGATTAGACCTAAATATTTTAGGTCTGTATCATTTGGGAACCAGAAGAAGGTACTAAGGTAAAGGGAAGGGGAGGGTTCTACAACAGGGAAGCAGGGGTAGGGTTTGTGTGGAAGGAGGCAAGGTATGCAAAAAATAATTAAAATGGCAGGCCTGAGGCTACTATCCTTAAAAAGCCCTGCTTGCAAGACTGGCCCTTACCTGCCTTCTGGGATTTCAGGAGGTTTCCCATTATTTCTGGGTAAGAATGGCTCACTGTGCTTAAATTATTTGAAGCAAACAGTATACATTATGAATACTTACATGCCTTCTAGGAGTCTGGAATTTTGGTACATGCTAAGCAGAAAGTGCCTATGTGGCCAGTTTGTACTTAAAAACTGCTCTAGGCACTGAGTCTGTAATGAACTTCCCTGATAAGAGATTTCACCTATGCTATCACAATTCATTGCTAAAGAAATTAAGCATGTTCTATGTGACTCCACTGGGAGCTTGTGCCTGGTTTCCTTCTCAAGTCATCCATGTGAGTTTCCCTCCAATGAGTTTACCTTGTATACTTTTGCTGTAATAAATCATAGTCATGAGTAATTTGGTACAACTATATGCTGCATACTGAATCCTTCTAGAGAATCCTCAAGCCTGGGAGAGGTCTTGGGGATTCTTGGGCCAAGGCGGTGAGCAGAACAGGGGAGAAAAGAGGAAGGAGAGACAAAGTGAAGGAGAGACGATGAAGGGAAAAGAAGTGAAACAGTAGAGATATAGGGGAAGGCAGAGGAAATTGGGGTAAGGAGGGTAAGGAAAAGAATGAGTCCTGGTGTCTTTCAAAATCATTTTTCCAATCTCTTTGCTATGAGACATCACATACTGGTCATTAACGGCCAGAATCCATTTTGATTGATTGGTTTCCATGTCCCACTGACTGCTAAATATTAGGTTGGTGCAAAAGTAATTGCAGTTTTGCATTGTTGAACTTTGCCGTTTGATATTGGAATACATTCTTAAATAAATGTGGTTGTTATACATCATTTTAATTCACATTTCTCGCTTTATCTTTTTATGCTAATAACATTACTTTCTGTTTATTTTGTATGTATTTCAGACTATGGAAATGATGTTAGACAAAAAGCAAATTCAAATGATTTTCTTATTTGAGTTCAAAATGGGTTGTAAAGCAATGGAGACCACTCGCAACATCAACAATGCAATTCACCCAGGAACTGCTAACAAATGTACAGTTCAGTCATGGTTCAAGAAGTTTTTCAAAGGAGACGAGAGCCTTGAAGATGGGGAGTGTAGTGGCCGGCCATCAGAAATTGACTAGCACCAATTAAGAGTCATCATCGAAGCTGATCCTCTTACAACTACATGAGAAGTTGCTGAAGAACTTAATGTCAATCATTCTACAGTTGTTCGGCATTTGAAGCAAACTAAAAGGTGAAAAAGCTCAATAAGTGAGTGCCTTGTGAGTTTTGAAGTGTCTTCTCTTATTCTATGCAAAAACAAAGAACTATTTCTCAACCAGATTGCAACATGTGACGAGAGGTGGATTTTATATGACAGAGATGACCAGCTCAGTGGCTGGACCAAGCAGCAGCTCCAAAGCACTTCCCAAAGTCAAACTTGCACCAGAAGAAGGTCATGGTCACTGTTTGGTGGTCTGCCGCTGGTCTGACCCATGACAGCTTTCTGAATTCCAGCGAAACCATTATGTCTGAGAAGTATGTTCAGCAAATCGATGAGATGCACTGAAAATTACAAGGCCTGCAGCTGCCATTGGTCAACAGAAAGGGCCCAATTCTTCTCCACGTCAATTCCTGACCACACGTCGCACAGCCAACGCTTCAAAAGTTGAAAGAATTGGGCTATGATGTTTTGCCTCATCCATCATATTCACCTGACCTCTTGCCAAATGACTACCACTTCTTCAAGGATCTAGACAACTTTTTGCAGGGAAAATGCTTTCACAACCAGCAGGAGGCAGAAAATGCTTTCCAAGAGTTCATCGAATCCTGAAGCACAGATCTTTATGCTACCAGAACAAACAAACCTATTTCTTGTTGGCAAAAATGTGTTGATTGTAATGGTTATTATTTTGATTAATAAACGTGTTTGAACCTAGTTTGAGCTTCACTGGTAGCTCAGCTGGAAAGGAATCTGTCTGCAATGTAAGAGACCCTGGTTCAATTCCTGAGTCGGAACATACCCTGGAGAAGGGATAGGATACCAACTCCAGTATTCTTGGGCTTCCCTGGTGGCTCAGATGGTAAAAAATCTGCCTGCAATGTGGAAGACCTGGGTTTGATCCCTGAGTTGGGAAGATCCCCTGGAGGAGGGCATGGCAATCCACTTCAGTATTCTTGCCTGGAGAATCCCCATGGATAGAGGAGCCTGGTGGGCCACAGACCATAGGGTTGCAAAGAGTCAGACACAACTGAGCAACTAAACACAGCACATGATGATTTAAAATTTACAGTGCAAAACGGCAATTACTTTTGTACCAACTTAATATACTTAATATCCCATGATAAACCATAATAGAAAAGAATATTAAAAAAGAATGCATATATTTATGTATATATTGTACATGTAGATATATGTACATGTACATGTAGATATATGTATGTATACAACGGTCACTATGCTGTACAGTAGAGATTGGCTCATTATAAATCAGTGTGTGTGCTCAGTCACTGAGTCTTGTCTGATTCTTTGTGGCCCGCCTGACTCCCCTGTCCATGGGATTTTCCAGGCAAGAATACTGGAGTGGGTTGCTATGCCCTTGTCCAGGGGATCTTCCTGACCCAGGGATCAAACCCATGTTTCTTAAGTCTCCTGCATTAACAGGTAGATTCTTTACCATTGTGCCACCTGGCTATACTTCAATTAAAAAAAAAAAAGGTTGTAAAAAAAAAAAATCAAACTGCTGAAAACAAAAAACAAAGACAATTTCAAAGCAACCAGAGGATAACAAATTACCTGTAGAGAAACAATGGTTAAAATGACTGCAGATTCCTTTCCACAAACCACAGAGCCATCAAGACTTGCTCTATAAGAACTGCTAAATAAAGTTCTTCAGACAGAAGCAAAGTGATATAAGAAGGAAAATGAGGATATCAGGAATGAAGAGAGAGCAACAGAAATGATACAGATCTAAACAGATTTTTCTTTTCCTTAAAATATGTTTGATGACTGAAAATAAACATTGTTCCAGTGGAGTTTACAATGTGTGTAAATACAATATATAAGACAACACTCTACATAGGGCTGAAAAAAGAACTGTGATTCTATTTCTTAGATATTTTTCATATATCTTCACCCTCTTGGTTCCAGCTGCCATAACCCTGGCTCAGGCTTCCATCAACACTCTCCTTGCAACAGTTACCTAACTTGGTTCCCACTCTTGCTCTCAACTTCAATCCATTCTCCAAACTGAAGACAAAAGGCAATAGTTGTCACCTTTTTCTGATCTTCATACCTTATAACCAAGCATACAAGTCACTTCCCCATCTAGCCCCCTCTACTTCCCCAGCTTCATCTTTTGTCAGTGGCCCTCTTCTCACAGTTCTCTGCCTCGAGTCACGCTAAATTTTGTTCAATTTCTGGCCTATGCTCGGCCTTTAACATATTGCTTGGCACATGGTAGGACCTCACTAAAAACGCTAACTAAATGAAAGAATAAATTCTTGGAGGATAGTTATTCCTTGGGAGGCGGGGAGAAAGCATGAAGGAAAAGGAATAAAATAAAATAAAAATATCCTCATTTCGATGTAAAGCGCCCTCACCCAAGCCTGCGTTCACACCCAGTTGCCTATGGGTGTGTAAAAGGTAACCTGTTTTCTCGAGTCACAGAGCAGGAGAGTAAAGCCAAGTGTGCTGGCAGGAAAAAGTGTGAGGCAAGGCTAACACAGTCTTGGTCTACCTTTTAACTAGCATGTTAGAGAAAAAAGGCTTTCTTTACCTCCGTGTGGACTCTGCTCTCCGCAGGCGAAGAGGGTCTTCTAATCCAGCTTGTCGCGCTGACAAGAACCCTAGCATCCCGTCTTTTCACATCGGCTTGAGAACTGGACGCTGCCATGACAGAGCTCGGAGGCGGGGTTGTAGCAGCGGAGCCTCCCATTGGTTAAGCGTGAGGCCATCCGCCCAATGGAGAGCGCCTTTATTAGAGAGTACGCGGGTTGGAGGTGGGTGAGACGCCTCGGAGTTAGTGGGCGGAGTCAGCGGCGGGGGCGTTCCGTCTTTGGTTGCTGAGATCCCGGCAGATCCCGCCGCACCCGCGCGGGACCTGGTGCGACAGCATGGATTGGGCTCAGCGTTTGTTCGGCGTCCTGCGGCGAGCACTGTCAAAGGAAGTGAAAGAGCAAGTGGGCACAGACCGGTTCGGGAACAAATACTATTATATCCCGGAGTACAAGAACTGGAGAGGTGAGCTGAGAGCGAGGGCAGCGGTTGAGTGGTCGGAAAACGACGTGCGGCACCACTGGTAATTAGCAGAGTGCTCTGCCAAGTTTGTTCACTCCGCCGCGCCCTCCGCGCTAGCCATTGGCTTGCAGTCGGGCTCTCGCTGAGTGGCCCGCAAGTGCCTGAGTCTCTGCGCCGCAGCGTCTAGGTCTTGAGGGCGCCGGGCGCAGCACACTCCTCCGCCCAGCGCCGGGAGCCTTGCCAGTGCCCAGTGTAGGTTCTTGCAGTCGGGACAAGTCCAGGGAGGTTTTCACCAAAGGGTCCAGGGAAAGTTAGGGACGTACCTTTCCTCCCTGGTCGCCAGTGCCCACCTTGTCGTGGGGAAATTGAAGAGATGTTATTTTGAGCGCCTCTGCTCTCCTCTTGGTGTTGACCTTTTAAAGTGGCGCCGGCGTTGGCCCCAAGCGTCACCTTCCTCGCGGACAAAACTGTCAGAAGTAGGTCCATGGTCACTGACAGTGTGGAAAAGAGATCCCATCGCCAGACCCCACGTTACCTTTCCCTCGAGTTTGCAATCCCAAGACCCTGTTGCGCTCACTTTAAGATACACGGCGCTAATCGTGTTTCTGTGTAGGAATCTTGCGGTAAAGTCTTGGTGTTTGCGGAGGTAGGGGGCGTTCCTGGTCCTGAAATCACACCACGTGGCAGTAATCTCTTCTGTGTTTTGCATCACCACGATGCAGATGATCTCACGCTTTCGGGTCAGAGAGGCTTGGGTTCTAGAATCTCAACTTTGACGTCTAATAACTGAGGGATCACGGGCAAAGTATTTGTCTTCCCGGGTATCAGGATCCTTACTTGAAAGAGAGAATATTGAGAAGCACTAAGACCTTTGAAAGTGGTGTTTCATTCACTTCCTATAACTCTTGATAGAGGAAATTTCTTCTTCCTCGTAGAGCACGTGTAAAGTATATTTTTTATTACTCAAAATTGTTTTGCCTAACCTTTTTCTGTAAATTATTTTAATATCTTAGACTTGTTTTCCTAATGAGCGTTTACAGGGCAGGAAATATTTCTTTTTAAAAAAAGTCCAAAAAAAAAAATTTAAAAAGTCCACAAAGAACCTAGCATGGTGGTGAAGTATTTCTTGATAGATTGCAAACAGAGGGAAAGATGTTTCTTTTTCCTAAGTTGTCAGATAACATTAAAAACAAATATAAAAACATCAGATTGATCTAAAGTATACTTTACATATGGTAACATTCATCCTTTTTGATGTATGATTTTTGACAAATGCACCGTCGTAAATATCACTTGAATCAAGATACAGAGCAGTTGCATCACCCCCAGAAGTCCCTCTTACCCCTTAGTAGTTCGTTCCCTCACCCCATACCCTGCTGTTGGCAACCACTGATTTATGTTCCTATAGTTTTGCTTTTTCCAGGATGTCGTGTAAATGGAGTTATAGAAGAAGCAGTCTATTGAGTCTAGTGTATTTCATGTGGTGTGATGCAGTTGAGATGCATCTGTGTGTGAGTAGGTCCTTTTTGTTAGTAAGTAGTATTCCATTCCATTATGCAGGTTTACCACAGTTTATCCGTTCATCTGCTGAGTGACCTTTAGTTTGTTTCTAGATTTTGGTTACTGTGCAGAAAGCCTCTATAAAAATTCCCATACAGGATTTCAATTGAACATAATTTCTCTTGGGTGAACAGCTAGGAGTGGGATTGCTGTCTTTTGTGGTAAATGTATCAATATATATAACCAACTTTATAAGAAACTGTTTTCCAAACTGGTTGTACCATATTGCATTCCTGCCAGCAACACATGAAAGTTTAGTTTCACATTCTCACTAGTACTAGGTTCTGCCAGTTTTTAAATTTTTATTTTAACCATTCTAATGGGTAGACAGGGCTTCCCTGGTGGTGCAGTGGTAAAGAACCCACCTGCCAATACAGAAGATGAGGGTCAGTCCCTAAGTCTGGAAGATCCCCTGGAGAAGGAAATGGAAACCTACTCTAGTGTTCTTGTCTGGGAAATTCCATGGACAGAGGAGCCTTGCAGACCCCAGTCCATGGGGTCACAAAGAATCAGACATGACTTAGTGACTAAACAACAGCAGTAAGTAGCTAGTGTTATCTCATTGTGGTTTTAATTTCCATTTTCCTAATGACTGAGGATGTTATGAATCTTTTCATATGCTTATTTGCCATCCATGGATCTTTGGGTGAAGTATCTGTTAAGTCTTTTGACCATTAAAAAATTTTGTATTAATTTCATTTCTTTGAAAATACAGTATCATTAAAGATTTAAATTTGCAAAATCATGTGTATTCTAAAATAATATAACTGGTGAGTCAAAGGATATGTTTATCTTTAATTTTATTATAATACCAAGTTGTTTTCCAAAGTGCTTATGCTAATTTATACTTCAGTTAGCTTGATATTTTGAATCCATGTACTCTTGATTGTGAGAAAAATTCAGCTTTTATTAATAATGTAATACAATCATTGTATGCAGCTGTCTGATATCTCTCTGTGTCTCAGTTCTTGGATAATTGAGGACTGTGGCACAGCTATGTTGTACAGTCTGTAAATACCATTACAGATTTCCTAAGCCTTCTGCTATAAATCAAGGGAAAATATTTTTAGTTTGTTTCCAAACAACTTTTCCAAAGATAAGTCATCTAACTTTTTTATTTCCTGGATATGAAAGGTGTTTCTTACAGGTCTCCTTGAGTTTTCTTTGAATTGCATAAATTGAACACCACCAATGAGTAGTGTTTAAGAACCCTTTAGAGGAAATTAATTTTTCTTTTAATTCAGTTGATTACTCTGGTGCTAGTCATCAAAGAACTACTGTATTTTCTATGTAGGATATTATTTAATAAGAGAAAAATCTGTTGTGATGTAGTTCAAAATAAGTCTTGAGTATTATCCAGTCAGCTGATAATTTTAAGTTTAGAATTACTGAAATTAAAAAAAAAAAAGAATTGTTGAAATTTTAGCTAAAAAAAAAAACCTATTGACATTTCAGGATAAAAAGATAAAGAGCATCGAATGTATTTGGCGTTTTTGATAACAAAGTACTGATTAACATATTTTTTATTGAAAATTTGCCTGCTCTAGAGTAGATTACTTAGTAAAAGATTCCTTAAACTTTATCTAAAAAATTCCTTTGTTATCGCACTCTTCTTATGTATAATTTGCTTGAGATCTTATCCATCCAGATCCACTTATCTCATGTTTCAAAAGTAATTCTCTTCCTTTCTAAGATAAATTCTTGTATTTGTACACTTGATTCTGACAGGAACCTTTTTGAACCTTGTTTTGTTATTTTCACTTATTTTTTTGCACATTTATTAAATATCTGCACCCCTAAAGCTAACAAATTTATTAACTGAGCTATCTTGAGCTGTTAATTTGCTAATAGACACTGTGAGTATCCAGATTTAGGGTGGTGGTGAATATTGTGCATAATTTGCAAAAGCACCAGTTTTTTTGTTTTGATTATTGTGTTTTTATTTTTGGACAGTGCTTTAGAAGAGATGCTTGGAATCTAGAGAGTCCAGACAGGAATAGTTATGATGATGAAATTTTCTAGAGATTATGTCTATAAGTTTTATTACCTGCGAGTCTTGAGCAGGTTTACCCTGTGAAGATCAGTTTTAGGAGGAGCTTCAAGTATTTGAAAAATTGTGGTATAGGAAAAGGATTAGGCTCATCTGTATAGCCTTTAACTCAGAACTTCAATCAGAGAGTAGATGTTTACCTTTTTTTAATAAGAACCAACTTTCAGACTGTTAGGGCTATGCTAGAGAAGGAAGAGAGTGCTTTATGTTTGATTGCACTGGGAGAATTTAGGGAGATAAGTAGCTGGATACATTTGATCAGCACCTTGAAGGATAAATAGGATTTCACAAAGAGTGGTAGGAGTGTATTCCTGGTCGGTGGTGGGAAGAGATGGGAAATACCACAGAGATGAGAAGGTGAGTCCCATGTGGGTAGATTTACAGTGCAGAAGAACAGTAGAAAGCTGTTCTAGTGAGGTGATAGACAAGGTCAGCTTATAAAAGACCTTACTTAGGTTTGAAGTTTATACTTCATTCTGAGGTAGTAGGTAACCATTGAAAGCTTTTCGACAGAGAGAAGTTTGTGACATAATTAGAACTATTAGAGAGAGAACTCTGGAGGCTCTGCAAAAGATGAGCTCGAGGGGAAAGGAAGGAACTACAGTTCTACTAGGTGAAAGCATTGTTGGATTTACGCTGATCCTAGAGAGAGATCTTACTGGGCTGAAGTGAAGGAAATGGAAAGAAGAGTTTGGTTTAGCAAAGCTTTTGGACTTGGTAATGAATTGGACTGGTAGAAGGGAAAGAAAAGAGGAGAGGCCAAAGATGATTTTTTTGTTTTAATTCTGGAGAACTGGTGGATGATGGTGTATTGATCCATGCAAACAGAGGCTAACAGGGACTAATACAAACAGATAAGCAGCCTTTAGGGTGGGGTTGGTGAAAGAATACATAATTTGTTGCTTATAAGAGGGCAGCTTTATAATCAGGCAGTTGTATACTCAGGTCTGCACTTCCAAACATGTCAGCGATTTGTACTTTAGTACAAATTTGGAAGCCATCTTACTATAGGTGATCACTAAAACTGTAGGAGTAGTTGGATTCAGGCAGGGAAAAAATAACATGAGATTAAGAGACAGGTATTTGGGAACCCCGACATTTCAGTGGCTTCCTATCACCTGAGAGTAAATCCAAACCACCTGGCAGACATTCATGACCTTTGAGTCCATCTTGAAAGTGATCTTGGGCTTCCCCGGTGGCTCAGAGGGTAAAGCGTCTGCATACGATGCGAGAGACCTGGATTCGATCCCTGGGTTGGAAAGATCCCCTGGAGAAGGAAATGGCAACCCACTCCAGTACTCTTGCCTGGAAAATCCCATGGATGGAGAAGCCTGGTATTGCTACACAGTCCATGGGGTCGCAAAGAGTCGGACACTACTGAGCGACTTCACTT